AGCAGGATGTTTTTTTCAGTGAGAGGCCAAGGAGTTCTGAACCCAGGACACCCCTCACCGAAGACGTAGCTCCTGCACTCAGGAACTCACAGTCTTCATCCATCGTAGCAGACGAAATATTTATGATTTAGCATACATCTATGCAGTCAAACATGAGTTCTGGGGTTTTTTAACCTCTCTAAATACAACGAGGTTTCTTGAAGTTTTTTTAATGTTAGGCTGTTCACACATCAGTACCTCTTAATAGAAGCATTTCCATTAAGTTCTGGGTTCCAGCTCTTCTCCATAGGTCAGAGTGCTTTTCTACCACGCCAGGTCTTGATTGTAAGTCATAAAGCTTACTGAGCAATATTCATCAAATAATGTAAGCAAATTTCATGCAACTTATTTCATCCAGCTTTTTTTCATCCTGAGAACAGGGTAAGTCATCTATATTATTCCCTGAATCACGTGGACAAAACCAATGATTTTTTGTAATAAAATAGCCAGCGAACACTTTTCAATGATCTGCCCCATTCAATGTGAACGATGAAAGCATTTGGAGAGGGACAAACACCAGACCCTTTCTGGCCTAGAATGCTGGGTTTTGTTTCACAGGCAGCGAACGCGAACACCCACAGATCACCATGTAGATGAAAGTGCTGTTATTTTTACCTGCTTTAAAAATAACAACAATAACAACAACAGAAGATTGCCATTTCATCCAGGGTAAGAATGAATCAGACTTCTGCACTATTTTTTCCCCCCTCTTCAGCTGATGATTGAGTAGTCTGGTTTTAGAGTGGCCACGGTCAAAAACCCGAGATGTTAAAGGACAACTCCGGGGGTAACTATTATTCTTTCTCCCTCTCTTGCTTGCAGAGAGCCAGGAGAATAAATCTGGATCACACTACCAGTGTTCTTCCTGCATCTCTACACTGCTCTACATACTTTATTTGCAGAGTAAGTAGAGACATTGAATGGTTAAGCTAGAGAAAACACTTGCAGATAGACTGCCTGTGATTCTGTCAAATTCTATCAGCTTAAGCAGGATCGGACCTGCTCATTACCCAGACGGAAGACTTCCAACAACAAGCTCTGTGCCGCGCTGTGATTTGAGAAACAGAGTGGATGGAGTACGCTGCCTTTGGGGTAAGGATTAACCCAATGCCATGGGGCTGGAGGGACAGAGCTCAGCTGCCAGATGCAGCAGAGCATGTCAGTATTTCCAGGGCTGCTTCCTCCCTCCTGTCACGAAGGTCCCTCACGCTTCAGTCTCTGCGAGCTGTGCTTACGTTCACGGAGACAGCAGAGAGAAAGAAGGGGTGAGGGCCAAAATTGCTGCGAGCGCGCAGCATCCGAACAGGAACTCAGGCTCACGTTCTCTCTGGACCCCAAAGCCTTGCCTTCTCCCCACCACAGCAGCCTGTCGATTCTAGCCTGCACCTAGTAAACAAGCTATTTTTGTACAAAATGGGGGATTGAATCCTCTCTCAAAAAGAAGGGAACCAAAGCCAAGCCAAGCCTACTGACCTCCCATACGTGCTTCAGCCACTATGCAGAGGGAAAATTTTTCAGGGAGAGGAACTGCTGCTGCTGAACTCAATACTGCTGTCAAAAGCCAGGCATCTCATCTGTTCCTGCTGGGCCTTCCTCTGCCCATCTCAGAAACTCTGAACTTTTTCCTTCCTCCCTCTCTGTACATACTGGGTATCAATTGACCCCTCAAAGCAACAAGTAGATTTCTTCCTTTTTCATGCCCCAAACTCTGGGGTTAATAATTTAAAGAGGTCTGCAGCTTAGCTGCTGACAGAGAACCTGCAGAATAGACCTGGTGGCTGCTCAAATATTTATATTACAGCGGTACCAGAAATTTGGCTCGAGATAAGACCTCAGTACACCCGAGGTTGTAGGTGCACGTAGCACCTATCCCTAACAGATCAGAGGGGACATGCAGAGAGGTCCAAGACAAAAAAAAAGGCAGTTTTCAGAGCACATGGAGTTCCACCAAGCCAGACTCAGCCAACGGCGTTGCGCAGCGGTAGGCGGCTCAGCGCACAGCTGGGCACAGCTGGGGGAGCTGGCTGTGGGCTGCCTTTGGGCAGTTTGCCCGCTGCCTGCAGAGCAGCCCTGTGAGCGGGCGGGTATAAAGGCTCTGCTGCAGAGGCAGCGCAGCCAAGGAAATGAAGACCCAGATCCTCAGAAGTATTCAGGTGTCCAGCTCCTACGACGTGCCTACACAACCTAAGAGGATGAGACCTACACAACTTGCTCAGCATCATATGGGAAGTACGCGGGACTCCAGACTTAACACAGTTGGCCCAAATTTAGAAAGCGGAACCCCCTTCTTAGACAACACCCTATAAATACACCTAAGAACAGAAGAGGGGACATACTAGCTCAGACCAAGGGCCCACCCAGCCCACCGTCCTCCTGTCTCCTTAGCAGCCAAGAGCACATAAGTGGAGAAAGGTACAGGGACAGGCAACCACGTGCGGTACCTCCGCCTCCGCTCTCCCAGCCTCTACCACTGGCTGCTCAGGGACCTCAGCAGCCCTCCACAGACCTCTCTCTGATGAGCTTGTCCTGTTTCCCCTGGAGCCCAGGTAAACTTCTAACTCCATAGCACGCTGCCGCAAGGAGATCCCCATCCTCTGATACACAGACTGAATGAAGATCCTAAAGAAAGCAAGCGATGTATTGCAACAGCTTGGGATCTCTCCTGAGGAGACACTGTGAGATGAACTGAACGGCTGAATGCTCTGCATTGCACTTCACACTCGTCAGACTTGCGAGGTCCTGTCGAGGCAACGTAACAAACGGAAGGAGCAGAGAAGCAGAAGCACGGGACTTCGTGGTCCCAGTCAGGCTTCGTCCCAGCTGTGTCACTGCAAGGGTTTGGGCAAACCAGTTCACCTCCCTATACCGCTGTATTTCCTCCAGTAAAACAACACACACAACCACCTCCTCAAAGAAACAGTGAAATGATTCATTGGTTAATGTTGGTACAGAGCTTTGAAGAGGAAAAATACTGCTACTTGCAGGGGAAGAGCCCTATTTTTGCACAGCACAGGTTTACCTTTAAGGACGTGGAGTCAGCGTGGCTTCCGTGTGCTCACGTGAAGCTACACACTTACTTAAGTGCTTTCTGCACATACCTTCTGATGTCTACAACATGAGCATCTAAATAATATCATGAAGACTAACCAAAAAAGTTGTCAGGAATACGTTTTCATAAGGAAGTCTCCTCACCATACAAATAAATACCAAAATACCCTTATAGGCTCCAAGATAAATTTCACCAGAGAGGGTTTTTAAGATTACCTGTGAACTACTCCTGCTCGGTGAAGATGTTCAACTGCCAGGATAAGCTGCCGGATATATTTGCGTGCTTCATGCTCCTCAAGTCTTTTTTTCTCATAGATCTTGTGCATCAAGTTGCCACCTGGGCACAGCTCCATGACAAGGTAGTAGCTGTTTTCCGTTTCCAGTATATCCAGCAGCTGAGCAATATTTGGGTGGCGGATCATTTGCTGGATCTGCCCTTCCCGTCGCAGATTCTTGGTGACATAGGTGTCCTTTTTGGCTCTTTTCTTGTCAATTACTTTCACTGCCACCTAATGAAAAAACAGAAAAGAGGGGGTTGTTAGCAGTCACACCGACGATTTATTGTTTTAACCTTGTATAAACAACCTCAAAAAAAAAAAAAATTAAAAGGATGTCGGTCTCAACTGATACACCACGGTTTCGGGCACAGCTGCCCCGGTCAGAGAAATAGCTGTTTTTCCAGCCCCACTGACAATTTCTTTCTTTATTCCCTTGTATGATGACAGACAAAAGTTATTGCAAGGAAACAGACAGCAAAGGAGAGAACCATAACCATAACACTTAGCACACTTAATGCTGGCCTTTTATTTTATCTGTTTTCCCAGAAAGTCTTCAGGTTGGTGTTTACAACTTTTAAGTGTCTTTTTTGGCTTTTCCTGACTTTGGATATACGACTTGAGACGATACGCTTCCACGACTAGTTTCTTAAACTACAGCCAAGTGTTAGTTTTGCACAATTAAACAGAATGAAAACATACTATGAAAACCAAAGTAATTTTGGTACCACTCCCTTGGCACATTTCTTTTTCCTCTTTTAAAACGCACACGAAAGAGGATTCCCTTGTGACTTCTAGAACCGAGCAACTCTGCAAAATCCAAGGCGGCAAAACTTTTTTTTAAACGCAAGTTCTCAGTGGCACACCTGCTCACAGCTGCCCAAGTCAACTGAAGCCCGTCATGAAAGTACATAATGAAACTAAGGAGATGCTGTACCACAGTGTAGGACACAGCACGTGCTGGTGCCTGTCCAAGCGCTTTCCTCCTCATTGCTGGTGCAGAACGCCATGGGAGAACAGAAGGACGGGACCTGTCAGGGTGTTGCTCTGCTCTACCCCCAAAGAATCTGGTTCCTTTTATTGTTTTAATGGATTCACTAACCAGCCACAATAAAAGTATCTGCCTTTTTCTGCCTCAAATTAAATTTGTAGACACTTACTTATTTATTGAGATTGCTTAGCTAGATTGGGTGCTGCAGACTTCCAGGTCATCTGCACCACACAAAGATTTAACAGTTTGTGCCAGGCCGAGCAAGAAAAGGCACCATGAAATCCTCCTCCCGGGCTCTTCGTTTCCTCAGAGCTCTGCCACAAAGCAAGTCCTTCGCAGCACGCACCCGGGCCCTGCGGTCCCCCATCGTCACCCAAGTGAGAACTGCCGGTTTGTCAGGGTGAGAGGGGGGCAAACACAGTGCTTGGTATTCCTGCCTGACACTGCATTTTACATGACGCAAAAGAGTGTGGTTTGCATGGGTAGAGGTCCAACAGAACACCCAGAAAATGCCACGTCTGCCCCGCTAAACGGAGGCACAAAGACGCCGCATCCGCATCTTTGCTGTCTGCCTTGATTTGGCCTTGAGGGATCTCCCGCGTTACCATACTCCTGCAATGAGAAGGAATAACAAATGTGGGGAAAACCTCACAGTTTTATTTACCCTAGCCTTAACACCCAGACAACAGCACAAGCCGAGGGGCTTCCCTCCATCTCCAGCTCGTACAACATCCCTCCTCACGGCCGATGAACTACTCACAGCAAACTGGCTTTCAACTATGGCCAACTACATCGTGACAAGCCACAGCGCTGTGGGCTGGTGGGCTTCGGCAACAGGCAGACAAACTTATCCAAAATGTATCTGGCTGCCTTCCAGGCTTGAGAAAGTGCCAAGCACACATCAAGCACATGACAGCTCCCAGTCTGACGAGCCTTACCTTTATTTTTTCTGCAAGCAAAGGAAAGGTTAAATTACCGAACATTTTGGTTTTCCTTTAGAGAACAAAAGCCACAAAAAATATGGTCTGGAAAAATGACAACAAAAATAGATCCATAGCCTTTGACACGAATGCCTTGAATCAAAGTCAAGTCTTATCAGCAGAGGAATTGAAGAATAAAACTACAGGAGCTGGGGCTTCATAGTCTGTCCTAAGAGCCAGAAGTTAGTATCGCTGAGCACGTTATTAGCTGGATACATTGCTGCTGCTAAAAGATTGTTCTGACGAAATACCCTTGATAAAGGGACAAGGCTGAACACCCCACAGCAGACAGAGGCCTGGGTGAAGCCCAGAGCAGCATCAGGACCATAACGGCCAGAAGCTACACTCCTGACTAGTCACATTAAAGAAAGATCATTTAGTCGTAAGACAAAACAGGTAAATCAGAGCTTAACTTCACCATTTTTTAAAGGCTCAGGTGATTCACCAAGGAAACAGTCTTAAATTAGTACATTCTTCCATCGAATGAGATAGAACTGAGAACACAGAGGCTCGCATGGATTATTTAGCAGCAAACCACACAAGTTATTCTGGTGAGGACAGACAAATTCATGGGTTACAGAAACACGAGATGCCAGATTGTTTGCTGGCAGCACAACATAACCTCTGCAAAAATTTTTTTAAAAAGCTGATATTTTCCACAACTGCAGGATACAAAACATGGAGTATTAACAGTATGGAGCAGTAACCTGTTATCCGTATCGGTAAGTCATCCCCAATTCACTGACCAAAAAAAAAAAAGCACATTACAACACGTGTCCACATCTGCTGCCCAGGCTGAGCACCACAGCGGGGACGGGGGCAACCACCTGAACCCAGCAGACAGAGCCAGCTATGTGACTACTTGATGACTTTTTCCCCTGTCGCAAAAAATTCGCTTTCTGTGCCTTAAGGACAAATTTTCACCTTGATTTTGACAGATACTTAGTCAGGCACCCTACCTATCCCAGCAGAAAAGCAAAGCTGCTTTCAGACCCTCCCTCGACTCTGAGCTACCTTTCCCCCTTCAAGGCCCCTTGCATCGGGTCCAAGAGATCCACCAGCACAGCTGACAAAGCTGACAAAGGTGGAAACTACAGGTTTGTTTCGGCAATAGCTTTGTGTAGGGGACAGGGAGGAATAAAGCACCAGGTAAGGCTACGGCAGACTTCCATCTCCCACACCAGGCAGGAAACTCGCTTCAGGGCGACACTGCTTGCTCCCGGACAGACGTGCGTGGGACCTTGCATCCTCTCCTAGGTCCGTGCTGCAGCACAGGGCACCCCGGAAATATCTCAGATATCCCCCCTCCCTGTCCCAGGGCCTATTCAGCCAGGATCTTTGAAGAAACCTCTATATATCTAAAGAAAAAACCTGTAATTGATGCAAACACACAAGTAGCCTATCAACTTTCAAATGGATGCTCTCCATAGTAGCTTCCAGCTTTTGTTCCTCCTGGCTCTTCTTCCTTACTGCTCCGTTCACATATTCTCCTGTCCTCCTGTCAATGCCCCTTGCACTGCAGTTCTTCTTGCTTTTGCTTTCTTGTAGCATCACTTTGCTTTCCTAAATGAAATGCATCCCATGGTACAAGGGTTGTGCAAAGGGGTCAGCACTCTCAGGCGGAGCTCCTGTGGGATTTTTTTTTCCGCTTGTTTGGGTTTCTTGGATATTCCTCCGATTTACAATTTACTCTGAAGAATATAGAGGAAATCTAGGGATCAAACTCTGCACTAAGTTATTCCAGAGTTGACTTTGCTAAATATCCCTGCTTTTGAGTTCATCCAGAGTTCGGTAGCGAAGATCGAATGTGCCCCGACACATTTAATACACACAGCCTCCTGTACGGTGTAGATGTTTGTGCGTACACCTGAAAATTTCATTCATGCAGAATTAAAAAGCATTCAGTAGAGAAAATACTGTAGATGTTAGATAACCATAAAATAAACACATTCGAGCTTTCACAGCATACTCAAGACATGCCACTTATGCAGATGAATTCTCCCAAGTTTCAAGTAGGGGCTCTTTATCTCTGCATCATGCCCATCTCCTGACTTGAATTCTTGGTCAATACTGGCACAGAAATGAAAAAATAAATGATAAAGCAAGTAATTACCCTGAGTACGTAGCAACAGTGGCTCTTGACATTCAACACTTTGTTTTTGGCCAAACCTCTCTGTGTAAGTAAATAAATGGTTTAGGTTATTCTGTGTCATGAGATAGAAAGATGAGTAATAGGCCATATTTTTGGATCCTGAGTCCTAGAATTACACTGTTGGAATGAATTACTTTGCTGAAGTTTATGGTGTGACACATCATATGAGCAATCGCTGCTTCTCTCGATCGTCGCACTAAAATAGTTCAGGTTGGGCTAAAGCGTACTGAAGCGGAGGTGAGGGGGAAGCGCAAGCACTGCTCTTCTCCACAGATCCTCGGAGAAGACGGTGACATTGCTTACAGAACCAAGCAGCTACAACACCATCAGCAAATACAGGCACGTGTCATCACCCAAACAAAGGCACGCGTTTGACACACACGGGCGGAGGATTTTTGCCAGCTAGTGTTTTAGCAGATTCTCAAACCCTCCAAGGGAGAGGCGGAGGGGTGGAGCTGACTGGCACCAAACTGCACAAAAACAGGCACAGCAAGGCCCTGAGAAACAGCAAGAAGAGACAGTTTAAAGGACCAAACGTTGCCTGGAGAAATCTAGGAGCCAGGGCTTCGGTTGCTGGATCACTGCTGCATCCAGA